AAAAGGGGGGGAAGAGGAAAAAAGGGGGGGGAAAGGGGAGAAAAGGGAGAAAAGGGGGAAAATGGGCGGAAAAGGGGAAAAAGGGGGGAAACGGGGGGGAAAGATGGGAAAAGGGGGAAATGGGGGGGAAAGGGGGAAATGGGAGAAAAAGGGAAAAAAGGGGGGAAAAGGGGGAAATGGGGGAAAGGAGGACAAGGAGGGAAAAGGGAAAAAGGGAATGTGACAAACGATGTCCCCACCAGGCCCAGAGCAACACCCGTGTCCCTCCCTGTCACCTCCTGAGGGACAGCCCAGTGTCCCCAACACCTCCTGAGGGACACCTCGGTGTCCCTGTCACCTCCAGGGTGTCACCTTCATGTCCCCAGCACCTCCACAGTGACACCTCTGTGTCCTTGTCACCTCCATGGTGACATCCCAGTGTCCCCAGCACCTCCTGAAGGTCACCTCGGTGTCCTTGTCACCTCCGTGGTGACAGCCCAGTGTCCCCAGCACCTCCTGAAGGTCACCTCGGTGTCCCTGTCACCTCCACAGTGACATCCCAGTGTCCCCGACACCTCCTGAGGGACACCTCCATGTCCGAGTGACAATTCCACATCCCTGCCACCTCCACGGTGACACCTCGGTGTCCCTGTCACCTCCACAGTGACATCCCAGTGTCCCCAGCACCTCCTGAAGGTCACCTCTGTGTCCTTGTCACCTCCAGAGTGACACCTCCATGTCCCTGTCACCTTCAGAGTGACAGCCCAGTGTCCCCAACACCTCAGAGTGACATCCCAGTGTCCCCAACACCTCCTGAAGGTCACCTCGGTGTCCCTGTCACCTCCATGGTGACATCCCAGTGTCCCCGACACCTCCTGAGGGACACCTCTGTGTCCCTGTCACCTCCAGAGTGACATCCAGTGTCCCCAGCACCTTCTGAAGGTCACCTCGGTGTCCCTGTCACCTCCACAGTGACACCTCCATGCCTCTGTCCCCACCATGGTGACACCACCATGTCCCTGTCACCTCCAGAGTGACACCTCCATGTCCGAGTGACAATTCCACATCCCTGTCACCTCCACAGTGACACTTTTATGTCCCTGTCACATTCACAGTGACATCTCCGTGTCCCTGTCACCTCACCAGTGACAATTCCACATCCCTGACACCTCCACGGTGACAGCACCATGTCCCTGTCACCTCCAGAGCGACAGCCCAGTGTCCCCGACACCTCCAGAGTGACACCTCCATGTCCGAGTGACAATTCCACATCCCTGTCACCTCCTGAGTGACACCTCCGTGTCCCTGTCACCTCCACGGTGACATCCCAGTGTCCCCAACACCTCCACAGTGACATCCCAGTGTCCCCGACACCTCCTGAAGGTCACCTCGGTGTCCCTGTCACCTCCACAGTGACACCTCCATGTCCTTGTCACCTCCTGAGGGACATCTCAATGTCCCCAACACCTCCTGAGGGACACTTCCCCATCCCTGTCACCTCCACAGCAATCCCTCCGTGTCCCTGTCACCTCCACGGTGACACCTCCGTGTCCCTGTCACCTCCACAGTGACATCCCAGTGTCCCCGACACCTCCTGAAGGTCACCTCGGTGTCCCTGTCACCTCCAGGGTGTCACCTTCATGTCCCCAGCACCTCCAGAGTGACACCTCGGTGTCCCTGTCACCTCCAAGGTGACACCTCCGTGTCCCTGTCACCTCCACAGTGACGTTTCCATGTCCCTGTCACCTCCACAGCAACACCTCGGTGTCCCTGTCACCTCCAGAGCGACATCCCAGTGTCCCAAACACCTCCAGAGTGACACCTCCCTGTCCTTATCACCTCCACAGTGACATCTCTGTGTCCCCAACACGTCCTGAGGGACACCTCGGTGTCCCTGTCACCTCCACAGTGACACCTCCATGCCTCTGTCCCCAACATGGTGACACCTCCGTGTCCCTGTCACCTCCACAGTGACATCCCAGTGTCCCCAGCACCTCCTGAGTGACACCTCTGTGTCCCTGTCACCTCCACAGTGACACCTCCGTGTCCCTGTCACCTCCTGAGGGACATCTCAATGTCCCCAACACCTCCTGAGGG